GCAAATGAGTACAAATTAAATGTGGCCAGAGTGCATTAAGCTACAAGCTACATATTTACACACAGACATTCATATATATATGATTCTAAGATTTAACTCTTGCCCCGGTCTGAATTTTCCCAACATATATTCTTGCATATAAAATATAAATATGTAAGTACGCACTAAGCCAAAGATTCTCATAGAACTTTAATAAATACATATCACCAAATGAACAAAAAAAATCATTTCTTTTAGGGTAGGGTTAGGAGAAGGAAACACGTATACAATAAAATGGAGCGAGTGTAAGAGATCAGAGCTACAGTTTGTTAGACTGCCAACAGCATTGATGACCTTACTTCAATTCATGAGAAGCGCTTAGTAGGGAAAAAATAAATAGTACATACAAACATTTCAAAATACAATATAATACAATAAAAACCCTTCTAACGGACACTCGAAGTAGGTGGACAACCCTGTTGAGCGTATATATTTTTTTTTCAATCAATATAAATCAGCCCACTGGAAGGACGCTCTTCTGGACCGGACAAATATTACCCTGCGTTCGCTTTCAGCTCAATAAAATTTTCACTGTTCAGATACATTCATGAGAATCGAATGGAAGGGCACTGTATAGAAGTACATCATATAAGACAACATGCATGCAAAACTAAATATATACATTTTTGCATAAACACACATACATAACTTAAGATATATAAATCATACTTACTTATATGTATATTTATAGGTATACAGCTATGTTAGTATATATCGTAGCCAGCTTTTCCAACCTGCACATACACTTATATTAATTTCGAATAAAAATGCGTGCCAAAAAGCAACAGCCGGTACATAAGTGCATCGATGAGGATGCGAAGCTCCTCACGTTGGAGGGCATGCCCCGAGAGTTGGACACCTTCTGGCGCACCGATTCGCAGCTGCCACGTTCCCAGTTGAGCGGACACAGGATGTACCGTTTGAGCTCGTTAAACAAGTCATCGGCGTTTTCGCATCGGGAGCGACAACTGCTCAGCATACACGGTTTTATGCCAGCCGCCGTGTTCACTGTAAAGCAGCAACTTGAGGCTTGCACGCAACATTTTGCCACGTTGACCTCGAACTTTCAGAAGTATATATTTTTGACGGAATTGGAGGGATTCAATCGCAAGCTGTTTTTTAATCTATTGATAAGCGATCCAGAAACCTTTATGTCGGTGTTCAAGAGCTCGGAGTTTTACTTTTCGGTTAAGAATTTTAGCATCCTCTACACAAGTACCCGGGGCATGTATTTAACCATCAAGGATCGTGGCCACATCTACGATGTGCTGCGCAATTGGCCGCGACGCCACGATGTGCGCTATTTGGTTGTGACCAATGGCGATTCCGTCTTGAGTATGGGCGACTATGGGGTTAATGCAGCTCCCGTCGTATTTTTCAAATTGTACCAAAACGTTGCTTACGGCGGCGTTAATCCCGATAGCTGCCTGCCCGTAATGTTGGACGTTGGTACTAACAACGAGGAACTGCTGCGGGATCCAATGTATTTGGGCTTACCCCAGCGTCGCGTCACGGGAGCTGAGTACGAGGCCTTTTTCGAGGAGTTCACTGTGGCCGTCTTGCGGCTCTTTGGACCACGTGCAATCATCCAAACGAAGAACTTTGGCGCGTTAGACTCGATCAAACAGCTAGAGCGCTATCGCAAGCGGCAATGCTTCATGGATGTCAGTCTTCAGGCCTTGGGCGCCTGCGGGTTGGCCGGCCTGCTGGCCGCCAACAAAATTACTGAAGGCACTTTTAAGGCAAACAAGTTGCTCTTCTATGGCAACGGAACCTTTAACATTGGCATGGCGCGCATGTGTCTGGCCTATTTAAAGCGTTTGCGCTTGGATGAGAGTGCAGCGAGGGAGCGCATCTGGTTCTGTGACGCTCATGGTCTGATAGTCCACGGTCGCTGCGATCACAAGGTGCCCACGGAACTATTGGAATTCAAGCACAGGCACGAGCCAGTCGGCAGTCTACTCGACGCAATTAATTTGCTCAAGCCTAATGTGCTGGTGGGCTGCAGTTCAGAGCCCAATGTCTTTACCAAAGATATCATCAGGGCAATGGAGCAGAGCGCAGAGCAACCCATCATATACGCCATGTCCACCCCACTGGAGCTAGCGGAATGCTGTGCCGATGACGCCTTTGTGTACACCAAGGGCCACTGCATATTTATCTCGGCCGCACAGCTGCCGTCCTTAAAGTATGCCAATAAAGTGTATCAGCCCGGCTACTGCAATGTCCAGTATATGCTCCCCGGGCTCACGTTGGGCGTCATGCTGTCGGGCATGACGAGCGTGCCGGATGAGACATTCCTGGTGGCCGCCGATCGGCTGGCCAACTTGGTGTGGCCCAACGACATGGCCAAGCGCGATGTTTTTCCGCCCATGCGCAAACTGAAATGCATAAACTTGCAAATAACCGAAGCAGTGTTCGCCTATGCCTATCGCCGCAACTTGGCTACCCTCTGGCCGGAGCCAACCAATCCCAAGCACTACATAGAGAGCATGTTGTACGATCCCGAGTACGTTGAGGTCTGTCAGCCGATATACTGCATTACGGATCAACAAATTGGCACCACCGAATCTATTCAGTATTACAAACAGAAGATATAGCGCACAACTTTCATATTAATCGATTTAATTATAATTCAGAATAATGATTAAAAAAAAAAGCCACACAAATTGCATATCTGGGAATGCTTCTAATAGCGGTGCATGTCGCATCTTGCTGCAGTCCCCCATTCCAGTTAATTGCACAAGTCAAAGCAAGCCCATAATTTCAATGCGGCTGCCACATTTGGCATCGCCTCCTTTGGCAGCCCTCAGCTGAGCTGCCTACAATTGTAGTCTAGTCACAGCCAGTGGCCAATTAGCTGCATGCAATTTTCGCATGTCAACCCCCTCACTCTCTCACTCTCTCTGTATGTGTGTGTGTGTGTGTGTGTTATTGACCTGCGGCTGGTTCGCGAGTTTAAAACTATTAAAAACAATCCCAATTGCAGTTGTATTGTATAATAAATTGAAACAACCACCGTAAAATGGCGCAAAACAAAGCCGCAACAAAAAGGCAGTCAAATTAAATTGCATGCGAATGAGTATGCGACTGTTGTGTGTGCATGTGTTTGCCTGCCATTGACAGGTACTCCACTGGGGAGCGTGTTTTACTGAGCTCCCTCTTTCGCTCTGTAGTGTGGATTTCATTTCATTTATCAATATGCCAAATGAAATACATGCGACCCGGCTACTGCAAGCTCACCGTATTCGATTCTATTTGCGGTTAACAACGGCAAATGACCCGAGGTCAGGCGATCGCATTTGCCCAGCTACACTTAATTGGAAAAAATATAGCTCTGAAATATTTCATAACAGTTAAATGTCTCTATTTGCAGCTCAAGTTGTCCATTGATTAATTGTTAAATATGTCGCCACGTTTTAAGTCACATCAATGTTTGTTATTGGTCTGGAGCTCAGGAGTAACAGCTATGTGCTGTTACCTGCAAATTTCTATTAATTTAAAGCAGCCGCGAGTATACTTATTATAGTTAAGACCCCTCCTATTTATTTAGTACAAAAACAAATAAGTACTTACACAGAAATGTACTTAGCGACCCAGCCACAGCCCCGGCTCCCAAACACAGGCCACACCAGCCGTAAATGTTAAATATTTCTTAGACTTAAGTCCCGGAAACAATTCACAACTGATGCTCCCGGTTAAGGAAAAGTTTTTAAAGTATCTGCGCGACCCGAAGGTAAAACGCAACTGGGGCTAGTTGCTATGAATGGCCCTTTTCTATACCTATTAACTTTTCTGAGCGAAACTTGGGAAAATGTTTCAAGCGAGCGACACCATTTTAGTAAAAAGTAAAATAAATACTTTCAAAAGTAAAAAAGCTTTCAGTTTCAAATAATTTTAGAACGTAAATAGTAAAATAAGCTACTATACAATAAATATAAAATAAGCTACAATACAATAAAAATGAAAACTTGGTAGTTCTCAAGTTTTACATTTAAATATAATTAAAGCTACTTAATTTAAAATATTACTGCAAAAGCAACAAGATAAATATTAAAATTGGTCGTTTATCAATTTTAAACCATATTTATTAAAATTGGCAGAAAAAAATTGTTCATAAACAAACCCGTTTTCGCCAAGTAAAAATTAAGTAAAATGTTTTCTATTAAAGAATCTTATCACATTTATTTACTGCATTTTACTTTAATGTTTACAGCTAAGTTCTTTGTTTAATTGTAAGTTCTCATAATTATTTATGTTATTTCTTCCTTTTTTTTTTTGTTATGAAATTTTAGATAGCTCATGATACGTTCTTCAGGGCAGCTTTGTTGTTTTATTTTATCTTTACTTTTTTTATTTTGCTGTAATAATTCTTTATATATTTAATATAGTTTACCATAGACAGAAAACTGTATACATACATAAGTATATATGCAAATGTACTTCAAGCGCGAATTATTTTCTTTGTATGAATACTTTGTAAAACGGGTGTTGTCTAGAGTACGCTTCGATTATTATTTTATTTTTACAAGGACCTTTTGTTTACTATTTTAACTATATAAGATATATTTATATATATATATATATATATATATATATATATATATATATATATATATATATATATATATATATATATATATATATATATTTGAATATATATATATATATATATATATATATACATATGTATTGTGTTTATATTTAATTTGTAATATAGGTTTTTGTTTTTCATTATTTGAATTCATTTTGTTTACTTCAAATACCGACATTGCAATTAGCTTCATTTACGGGTCATCATATTTTTATTTGCTCAACATCATGTGATTGTCATACAAAACATTTCACATAATCTTTAAATTATTTACAATAAATCAAAAATTAAATCGTCTACAAAAAGCAAAACAAACTTGTGTATCTCAAGTTAGAAGCTCAGAGCATTATTAGCTGAAAAATACATATTTTTTTTGTAGTTTCATTTACAATGGATTAGATTCGAGTAGTAAGCTAAAACGTGTGTGTTTGTGGGTAACTTCTAGATGGAAACATTAAAATTTTGTTGCTTTTGCTGAGAAAACTTTTAGAAAAATATTTTGTTAATTTACGCATATATGTATATACTTATATTGGCAGTTGTAAGTACCTATGGGATTTATGTTAATGCACTTCCTCAATTTGCATGTTTTAATGTTCAGAAAAGCGTTTAGTTTTCCATGTATTTCAAAATGCAGTTCCATACTTAATGGCAGTTATATTGTTGTTGTTTGTGTTAATATTATTAGTTAATTATTTTCTGTTTTATCGCTAGCTCATTAAATATTGATTTATTCAACGGCCATCTATTAGATATACGTATGTATTACTCTACATACAATAGATTTGAATGCATTTTACTTAATTCCGAATTGGGGTACTACGCATACATGTTAATATAATGCAACGACTGCGATTTGAGAATTTAGTTGAACATTACTAAAATGTATTTGCCACACCAACTTACTTATATCTATGGTTAAATATACGTATATATATAAATGTATGTATTTATGGATGTGTGTGTATGTGTATGTATATGAGCATATTGGTCTCAATCTGCAGTAACTATATGTATGTATATATATATTGCTTATAGTAAACATGAGGCTAACGCGCAATCTATACAACGACGGCCAAAATACCGTCAGCGTGTTATTTTTTATTTGCCCAAAAACTCATTTTTTTTTTAACCAAAGTCTATTAAGAATTTAAATTAAATGCCAGCTTACACGAATTTTTCCTTTAATATGCCAATACTAAATACTTGAGTTTTGTGTTAAGTAAACTAAATGCTTATTAACTGTTAAAGGGGTTTGATTATAACTAAAGCGACGTTATGTACAAACTCTTGCCTTAACCTAGAGACCATATCAGAGCCAAGAGTTGGGCTGTTTCTGAATATTTTATGAAATTTTGGTTCCGTAAAATACAATGCACACCCAGAGGTTGTATTCAATTATTTTTTAAATACAATATCTACGACCTATTTATACATAGCTATTCATAAACCTTATACTAGAATTATTAAACAAATATTGCTAGTTAATATACAAATTCGTTTAAGATCTTCCCATGGCCAAGCGACGCTATCTCTTATATTTTGTTTTGCATTTGTTTTTGTACACTCAAATAAATGTTGAACCTAAATTATAAAAAATCGCTATCAACAATTTTGTTAATTTTAGTAAATGTTCGTGTTTTACCAAAAATATTCTCCTATAAGGAACATTTTGTTTAAACAGGAAACATCTCTAAAATTAAGAGACATTTCTATTGATAGCGATTTTCTAAAATGTAGACTTAATATTTTGTTGAGTGTACATGTCAAAGGGTATGCACACAATCCTAGAACCTAAACTCAAATGCATATTAAAATTTATACACAAAACTGAGGCAAAAAACCGTTGAGCTCAAATAGAATGATGTCCTTGTAGCCTATGTCTGTTTGTAGCCTATGTGAGTGTGTTTGTGTCTGTGTTTCATGTAGGTGGTTTGTATTTGCGCTTTTTAAATTACTCGTAATTTATCTTAGCATAATTTAGTGATTTCTTTTTGAAGCAATCGCAATAGAAATAGAATTCGAAATAGAAATAGAGACTCTGTTCTATGTAAAACCGTATTTTCCATTTTTCATTATGGCAGGATCCTTTTGTTAGTAACTTTTAACGTTTACTCACTTTGCTTAGCGCTTTCTGCTGCATTCTGGCTAGTTGTGTGTACCTTAATATTCAAATCAATCAAACATTTTGTTGTTGCTGTTGTTTTCGTTTTTGTTGTTTTTGTTGCTTTTGTTGTAGTAGTGATGGTGGTTTGTTGTTGTTTTTGTTGCACTATTGAGTTTTGCTTTGAAATTGTTATTTGATATTTGTTGTTAATTCGAATGGCAAACGTAGAGCACTAAACAATTGCTGTACATGTAAATGAAGCAAAAGAAAAAATAATAAAACACATATTGAAAACATATTGAAATATTGTCTTTCAAAAGCTTAAAATTTTCAGTCTTTGTAGTTGGTTGCTCGGCTCTTGTCACTGCTTTCTGGGTGCTGATTACTCTCCTCCCTGCTGCTGCGCCTTGACGTTTTTGCTGGCTGTAATCAGATTGAATTGGCAAACAAAACAAAACATTTTTATCCATTTAAATATTGGCCAGAATTAGACGTGGCGTGGTGGTTTTTTTTTTCTTTTTTTTTTTTTGTTCTTTCTACAACTTACTTTAACTAGTTTGACTAGAGACTTTAGTAACTAGTGCACAGGGCTAGCAGAAACACGAAAATGTACAAATGATGGCCGAAATTTGGGCGTACACCCGCCGACAAGAACTCATAGCTGAACAAGTACTCTGAGAGTGGGCAGCATATTTGGTGGGAAGGCACAGAAGAGGAGGGCAAAGGCCATGAGTTAATTTTGTTTTTGTTGTATGGGATTTTTTGTGTAGTGGGTAGGAACTAGGCTAAAAGTTGACTTGGCTCTCAAGTCGGCTACTCACTTCTGGGTCAGACCAGGGCGTCGTTGCTGAACACATCGTTGACATGTTTGCCGTTGCCGCTGATGCTGCTGCCGCTGCTGCTGCCTGTTGCCGTTTTATCCTTGAGGCCACATTGCTGCAAAACACAAGCGAAAAACTTAATTAGATAAAATTCACAAAACCAAGATGAGTGTTTTAGTCGGCAGTGCTCGACTAGGAGATACCCTGAACAAGTCTTCCAGTTGATGTTCCAAATATAGCATATAAAATTGTGTATATACCAAAGTGCACGGATCTAGTTATTATTGTTATTTTCGAGTGGTAGGATAGGAGAAAATTTCAAAGAGATAATATTTAAATTTGATCTACGTGCGGTATGGAAAGATACATATTTCACGTTTAAAGTATTTTGTTTGTTTCCACTCAGACGCAAATGCGGACACGGCAAGAATATTTATAACTATGCATTATGAGAGCCTGTCTGCCTGTTACATACATTTCGACAAAACATTATACCCTTCCTAACTGCATATATTTAATGGGTATTCTGGGCACAAAAATACATATATAATTTCGTTAATTGCATGGCAAGGAAATTAGGCACAGAATCAACGATTTGAATGAAAAATTAATTAAAAACAATTAACGGCAGCTGCGAATAACAGCTGTGCCGTCTGCTGCCGGTTGTTAAATCTATATTTAATTGGCAGATTTCGCTTACCTCCTGTTTGGCCTGCCATTGCTTCATGGCTGATTTGTATTTCTCGAACTCGTTGCACCAATGCGAATAGATCTTCTGGTAGTCCTGCTTCTGCGAAGGCGGCGAGCATCTAATGTAAGTAGAAGAGCACAGCACAATAAGTTATCGGCGTGTCCCGTGCACGGAAATTAAAGTGTGCACCCAACACAAACAACAACAGCACAAGTCGAAAGTTTCAGCTTTCTAATTGCGCAACGGATATTTTGACGCCCGAAGCGGTAAATTTAAATGCCAGCCGGGTGGGTTGCTTATTGCTGGGCAGGTGGAGTCGTTGGAAAATGGAGTGTGGGGTGTGGGATTGGGACAAAGAGTCTCACCTGTGCGCATCCACGGTGACGCCATAGCTGCAGAGCAGGGTGCCATCCAAATAGCTATCATATCGGCCGCCATCGCCCTCGTTTACAGCCAGCAGCACCAGGCCGCCTTCGTTGGTCTCAATGTATTTGGTGGGTGTGTAGCGCACTTCGTAGCTGCATTGAGAGGCCAAAAAGAAAGCAAGTTAAGTCGATTTTCTATTTGCCATATATTCTATTTTCTATTTTCTATTTCCCAGTTTCAGTTTGTTTTGCCAGCAAAGCTCAGCCCAGCGCAGCGCAGTGCGAGTGCGTGAAAAAGTGTCTCATTGGCAACGCACAATAAAAATCAATATAAAGTGTGTGAAACTTTGGCAGCGCCAGCTGAAACTTTTTCCATTACAGACAGTCAGACAGACAGACAGACAGACTACTTATTGCCCCCACAGTGCACAATGGCCGCCGTGGTGCGTACTCAAAAAAGCGTAAATGCCAAAAAGCAGACTTCAACAGCACATTTTAAAGTGTCAATTTACCGCAGCCATCGCTAACTGAGATGAAGCGAAGTTTCGGTTACACTTCCGATTTCATTATTTGCTTTCAATTTTCATTGGCTGGCTTTAAGACAGCCAACGACGGGCACCAGACTGCCTGTCTGAACGTTTAATCTAAGGTTACGTGTATTTAAGACGTAATGTGCAACTTTTAGAAGTAGACAAAAACAGTTTTAAAGTGAAACTTTGCAGGAATAAGATCGGAACGAACCCAGACTACTATCATATGTCCCCTATGGAAGCAATCGGACATAAATAAAGATTTCTTATGGCAGCATTTCTAAGGGTATTTAAGCTTCGAAGCTTGCGCTTCAAATATTAACTTACCGTCCCTTCTCTGTAGAGTGGTGGTACCAGCGTGTCTGCTTCTTGCGCAGCACGTCGGGCATCTTGACGAAACAGGACAGATGCAGCGTCTGGCCGTAGGAGGAAGTAACACGCTTGCGCAGCACGCTCGTATCGCATATGCCGGACGTCTCATTGGCCACGTCCTGCAGCAGGCCCAGCTGATATGGCCGGCAGGCGTTGACCTCCTTGTCCCAGCCGCAATAGGGATCCGCCACACAGCGGAAGCAGCTGTCGTAGCGACGTGCACACATGGCCAGATCAATTTGCTTCACTTGATGGTCAGTGGCCAGATAAAGGGAAGCCGTCTTCTGGCTGAGTGTCAGCTCCCGTATAGGTTCGTTGCGCGGGGACGCCTCGAAGATGTCCACCAGATTCGAGTGTCGCTGTCCGTAGTGCATGAACTGCACTATCTTGTAGATCTGGCCAGTGCTGGTCGCCACAAAGTACACGAGAAACTCTTGGTTCAGTTTGTCTATGCGTATTCTGCCATAAAAAGAGGGAGACAGAAGGATGGAGAGTTAGAGCAAGAGTTGATAAATCGCACAAGTCTCCTGCTCCGACAGTTTTTGTGCAGCAAATCTCAAATGCACGCGACTTGGCCAAGTTGTTTTTTCTTCCATTTCTCTTTTTTTCTGCTCCCAGCAAAACAAAACGTTTAACTAAAAGCATATCCTGCGGCGCAATGTTCATAAGTTCCGGCCAAGTTATTTTACAAGTCGTTATGTTACACAACAACAGTCGGAGCAGAGCCGGAGACGGAGTCGGAGCAGCAAAAACAGTTTTGCTGTCAGTGAGCGAGTGCTCCCAAATGTCAGCGTTGGGCTGCCTGTTGTCCTGGCTGTGGTTGCACTGTATATAAACTTGGCAAATGTCAACAAGCGCAGCACACACACATGCAGGCGAATAGGTGGCTGGTTGCCAAGAGGCAACCGATGGTGAAGCTGGAGCTGGAGCTGCTGCAGCTCGCTAATGAATACATTTACACATTTTACTTACTTGTCGACAACGAGGCGGGTGAGTATAACGTCTCGTTTGTAAAATACAGGATTGCCAAATTCATGATCGACCGCCTTGTCCATTAGCGGATGTTTGCGTATGAAATTCAACACCGAGTCCGGCAGTGTTGCGGTGTCGTTGTGGCATGTGCCCGGACGTGGCTCCGGCACTTTTGAGTTCAGCACTGGCAACCAGGCGCTGTTCGATGACGCCTGCTCCTTGAACTTGCCTACGCAGCGGAGCGAATGGGACAGAGAGAGAAAGAAAGAAAGAGAGATGGAGTCAGTGTTATATTTTATATGGTGCATAAAAGTGCAGCGCAGAAAAGTATGCTATGTTAAATTTATGTGTGTCAGCGCTGTGGTACATGATAAATTACAGAGCTCTGGGCGCTGATTTGTGGCCCAGCCAGACCGAGACTGGACAAAAGTAAAACAGTTCGAGCTACTAATTACACATACACACACACAGACATATATATACTGAGCCAGCACTTGAAGTGTTTGCTGCATAATCATTTGTTTTTCATAATTAATTGCGTTGGCAATAGCTCTGGAACATTTTTTCACACATCGCTATATATATATATGTATATATATAAATATATATATGTTTTTGTATGTGCGTGTGTGTGCAACATGCCCGCAAACTTTTCATAATGAATTTTAAGTGTATGCCAGATTTTTTACTGCCATTTGCCTGCTAGCGTTCTGTCTGCCTCGATGTGCGTCTGTCTGTCTGGCTGTCCCTTGGTCTCGCTGAGAGAGTTGGCACAACTCCATACACACAATTTTATGGTGTTAATGAACTTTTCAGCAAAGTGCTGACGCGCACTCGAACACACACACACACACGCACTTATACACATATAGCGTGCAATTTGCGTATGCGTTTGGCACTACTTGAATTTGGCAGCTGTCACCAAAATAAATTTATGATAAATATATTTATTATAAATTCAATGATTGCTCAATAATTTGAACTATTCAAAATGCAAATTGCCCGCAAATGAGAATATTTTTATGTGGAGCCATTTTAATTAATTAATTTCGCTACTTTTTAAATGAATAACGAAGTCAAGTTGTCTGACTTAAACTGTCACAAATTCACAAAATTCTTTGAATTTGTATTATTTTAATTAGAAATGAAGAGTAGTAGGAGAGAGTTATTAATAAATTACAAATATTTCGCATGTCAAGGCGTTAAAAATTTTGAGCTATCCGCATTTGCACTTGGTTAACTTTCAAACTTTCCACAGACATTTCGTACCACACGACTGATTAATCTTGCTCTATCGTTCGCAAATTGAATTCAACTGAAAACGCAACGGAAATGAATTTCGAGACTTGCTAGAAAATGAGCAGTTGTTGCTGTTGTTGTAGTTCCTTAATGCTGACATATACTAAATTTTCTACACTTGCAGTCCTGCCTTTTGCATGCTCACTGAGAATGGGTAAGTGCATACGACTTTATATATATGCATGCCACATAAGTAGCATGGGTAACTGGGGAGAGTGCCACTGGGATGCAAATATGACATGCATTTCAAGCTGCACGCCAGATTTTGTGCAACCGCCAAATGATTTTTTGTGTGCATGAAACGTTGTTGCATTACAAATTGCATGCGTTTGGTTGCGTGTGGCAGCAGTACGTAAGTTCATGGGGCGTTGTTAGCACCTGTCACGCATATCTTGTTACCGTTAACCAAGCAGCACGCCAGCAGGCAGCAAGTAGAAAACAGCAGGCTGTGCTGCCAGCCGTTTTGTAGCAAATGTTAAAGCATTTAAAGCCGCCAGCAGAACGACCCCTAGTGGCAGCAGGCACATCAATTCAGCTCGCACCATTTAACGCTCAAATGCCAAAGCTGCTGTGCACGACACACACACAAATACCCAGCCGAATGCACACGCAAGCTCCTACACACATGCAGCACCTGTGAGCGTAATTTCTTCCGGCAGCTGCAGCCCTACGTAATGGGAAATGCTGGAAGAAGTCAAACGTAGCCACATGCACGTTCGTAAAAATGGCGCCGCAGAGAATTATTGCCAATGCAATAAATCTCACGCTTACACTTGGCAGACACAGGCACAAGCAACCCCCCTCATACACACCTACACACCTACACAGTCACACATATACACACACACACACACACACCCAGTCACCCACTAACCTTCAAAGGCCGCATTGATATCCCTTATATCGTAGCTGCAGACCGCCGAGCCAATTAATCCGTTTGTATTCGTTGTGAATGTGGCATAGAATTTGCTATCATCGTTGGGCATTTTATAGACGGACTGTATTTCGTTGAAGTAGAAAGGGAACTCGCTCGAGATGCTGCAGTTCATGCGCGCCTTCAGATATGTCGCCCAGTTCTGGCTGATCATGTATTTGCCGCCGCGATCGTTCTTGCAAACGCGAGCCACACGGGAATAGACAGCCTTGCCGCAGTTGATGTACTCCACGGCGTGTTCCCGAAAGAAAAAGTACACAAAATCGCCGATCTCAAAGGAGCCAACAAAGTTCGGTTCTTAAAATAAAGCAAAAAGAAGAAATTAGTTTGAAATATTTAGCCGAAATCGAAAATATGTGAAATATTTCTGCAAACTCTATAACCGATGTAGTATTTATATTTGAAACAATTATATTTTTCATCAGCAAAGTCAGTTGCAGAAACAATTTAATAAAATATAAGATGTTTTACAAAACTTACTGTCCAGTAATTTGGAGTCATATTTGACGGTGCGCTTAAAATTGGCCTCTTTACGTCCATTGGTGAAATTATAGAGATCCGAGCGGAATATAACCGAATCAGCTTTGGTGAATTCAGCATTGGTTCCGGCGTACTGTATACAAAGTAAAGGGAAATGGATTATACAGAAAGTCTGTGCTGGATCGCAAGCAATGCCGGCAAATTAGCGCCAAATATTCGGGAAATTTGATTTTCCAAAGGCAAAGGCAAAATATAGCACACACACATTCACACTGGCACAGAGGCGCACACGCACACACACACACAGAGGCACGCACACAATTACGCGTAAAGTGTAAGCACGTGCCTCCGACCCGATTCTCCGCACAGTCTTTGCAAGTGTTGGGCTGTGCGTGTGTGCATATATGCGTGTGTGTGTGTATGTGCCTCACTCTAATTTAATTTCAGCTGCTTTATTGCGACTCTTTTAAATTTGTTGCCATTTGGCTTCCCATAGCCGCACAGAACTTTGAGCTACCCCCACCTGCTGCTGCTTCCTACTTGCAACTTGTTTCTTTCGTCCTTTGCCTTTACTTTACTTTTGTAATTTTATTACAATTGACATTTTTCCCTTTTTTTTGCGTTCTTTTTCCTCCGGCTTTCTTTTGCTTTTATTTTTCTTTCCGTCGGCATTGCGACTTGGGAACGAGACTTGGACTTACCAGCGCAGGCAAACCAAAGGGATTTCCGTTTTCCACATAGACGGCGGTTGAGTTGTCAGCGGGATCGTAGGGACACTTGCCGATGCCCAACCCTATGCCGGGCACGTACTGGGATCTGGGTAAATGTGTTAAGTTGGCCTGCGAGTGTGAGAGGATAGAGAAAAGCGCATTAGTTGACTTTAATTTTGGAATTTGCTGCTCTTGCTCGCCAAATTAACTTCCAGCTTGACTGACAACCACAATTAGGCGTTGACGAAGCCAGCCCCAGGCCCAGCGACTAATCGTAGCCCCGTGTAACCCTGGGACCTGCCCAATGAATCTTTTATGTAAAATATATATTTGATTCTCTTACTTACGTTTATAACATAATCCTTGGGGTTGTGCGCATTCGTGCCGCAGACGTAGAGCCGATGGCCGTTGAAGTTCATGGGCTGGATGACGCGTATGTGGTTGCGGCATTCCACCTTCTTGATGTGTGCCCAAAATGTGGTTATTGTTTTTTATGCGTAATAGAAACAATTGTTTAAGCAACAAAATAATTGTGTTTGTGTGTGCGTGTTTAATGGATACAATAATGGGACAGACAGAAATGTGAAGGCAATGTATGAGTACCGAATCGAAATGAAGGCCAAAATATTTGCATGCAATTTTGATTAATTTTCTTTGCATGGAAATGGATATGTATGTATGTATACACATTTATCTGTGTTATTTATATCTGTAACAAACCTCTCGCTTGCCCTTGGAGACGCAGTTGAGTATATCGGAGCCAGTGGGTTCCAGTATTAGAACGTCGCGCTGCAATACAAAATAATTTCAAATTAAATTCATAAGCAACACAAATATGCATACATATATATATTTTTTTTCTAAATATTTAAAGCGCTTTCGCTGTCAACTCGCAGTGTTTTTTATGCTTCTGCCAATGAGATACGCTTAACAAATATTCCAAAAGTTTATTGAAAGCGTGATAAAATTTCATGCTTATCAAGAAGGCGACAGCCAAAATAACAACCACAACAAAAGAACGCGCAACAATTGAAGATTTTCTGTATTCGCATGTATGTATGTGGGTGTGTGTGTCTAAGTGAGTGTGTGGGTGTGCGTGGGCATATGCTCCAAACACGTACAATCATGGCGCCCATCTCGTGCGCCAGTATTTGTGTACCTCAAATGGTATATATACATAAATGTGTATGTATGTACACATTTGTGTACCCTAACAGAAAGTGTTTCAATTTTGCCAAGAAATATGGGACGTATTAATGGAGGAGTTTTTCTGTTAAGTATTTTGTTCCCATTCTGCCTATTCGATATGACCATATCCTTCTGACTGTTTCTATTAAATCTAGTCTGCAAGTGTAATGGGAGTGTAGATATATTAGATATATCAGAAAGATGATTGTTCGAAAATTAACTACATGCATGGAGAACTTAATTGTTTTTTTATTCCAACCCTATATCAACCCCATATCAAATCGCTCTACTATGCCAGTTTTCTGAAAGTGTATTTGATATTGGGCGTGGCGATAAATTCCTTTTTTTTCTTATTGTGCATGTGCCTGGCGAGGCGGGACTGCTCTTTATTTTTTAGCCATTGTTGTTGGTATTTCGCTCACGTTGAGCATTTGTTTATTTAATTCGATTTTCGCTTGCACTTGAATTTTAAACGCCAACGCGAATTATTGCTGAAAATAACTTGAAAAAAAAGTTTTGCCGAATGGGAATAGAAAAAGCAACATAACATTCCCGCACGTACCGTCTAAATAACTTTTTTTGTTCAGTTAGGGCAATCGGTACTGTGAATACTTCGTGAATTCAATGCGTCTCATATAGAAATCTACGAATTGACACACTTTGCGCTGCGGTCATGTGGACACAATATCCTGCCCTGTTGACAGTTTACAGTTTGCTCGCCTGGCTGACTGGCTGCACTTTAAGCCACCACTCTACTCTGGGCAACGGGCTAAGTGCAGTGTGATTCAACTTGAAACGCAATTTGTGCAGCCCGGAGCCGAGCAGCACGAATCGGGTCTAGGAGGAGTTTAGGAATCAGCACAAATAATTGCTGCTGAAAGCATTTGCCGCCGCCTGGACAAAGTGGCGCAAGGATGACTCAAAAGATGTGGCAAACGGCTGAAAATGGTTCGTCCAGTTTTCCCAGTTCCATTGCAAATGCGAAATGCAAGTGGGGGAAAAACGAATTCGAATGCGAATGCGAATGCAATGAACTTGAAACGGAAACGGATATTGATAGTTGAAGACGAAATCATTAAAGTGCAATTGTGCGCCTGCCCCTGGACAAGTGAGGGTGGCTGTCTAGATCTTTTGCAACGGATGTGAAGGCGAACAGGCAAAGAAAAAAACTAACTTTTTCGAGTTCGATTTGGCAGCCAGTTCCGAAAATCGTAAATCGCAAATACTTCATGGTTTTAAATCACTTTGCTTACAGTACTTATACTAAATCTTGCAAACAAATATCGATTGACTTGAATTGATTGATCTAAGTCAATTTATTGCAACGTATTTGGTTTGCTAAACAAAAGTATTCTTAATATAAATAATAAAAATAATAAACAATTTATAAATGCAAATTTTCTTTGAAAATGTTTGCATGTAAAAATAGTTGGCTTAAATATGTGGCATTTATTATAAATATTTATTTCTTTTCAGGAATAACTGATTTGTATACCCCGTACCTATAGCAAATTATACGAGAGGTATATTAAAGTAGGTCAATCATTAATTTAAATTTTAAATGCAGGCTATAAGTGCTCCAAAATGGACACATATATCCATACGATAGCTAGAATATCTAAATTTATTGTGAGGGCTTTCATATGCTAGAAATAGAAATGAGTACACATGTGAGGTACGCAATATAGAATCGTAGCTGGGTACAGAATATCTGCTAGTCTGGTATCTTGATTGATATTTCACTATTTTTATTCAATAGTAAGAAGCATCAGTTTACAAATGAATAAGTACACCAAATTCAGAGAAAACACTTTAAAAAAAGTAGAAGCCTCACAGTCAAGCATATCCAAAAACAAACATATGCTGCAGGTTTGTGTATACTTATAGAGAGCATGTCATAAAGTGTGCGAACACAAACAGAAACCAACATACAAACTCAACAAACATCTTTACAGTCTGTCTGGCCAGGTGAAAAGCCTGTAAGTGAACTTAACCTGTTAGTACGTGTGTGTGTGTGTGTGTGTGTGTGTGTGGTAGTATGTCAACAACGGTATGTCTGGCAAGCAACACTCAAGTGGCTAAGAGTGTCTGCATGTGCAGGTGTAAGTGTTTTGTGCATTTACATGCGCACTTATAATACCCGAGTCGATATAGCCAGGACTGTCAGTCTCTTTGCACAGCTTCGTTATTCTGTTGCAGATAGGAAATATGTCGGAACTGACAGAACAAACCACTATATCATATAGCTTCCATAGAAACGATCGGTCAAGAAGTCAACTTTTGTGTGGTAGCATGTAATCATAATAGCCATATACAAGTGTATTAAGATTTCGGCATGCCGAATTATTAGTTTCTTTTTTTAATAATTTTTAATTTTTAAGCTGCAGTCAATTCTGACTTGACTTGAATGTTCACTTTTCTTACCTCGCATATCGATTGGCTGATGTTGCGCAGATTTAAGCGAAATATGCGATCCCTGCAAGAGACAACAAAAAATATAGATTAGGGCTGGTTGTATTTTCCTTTTGTTTTATGGAATACTTGTGTAGATATGTGCCTACTCGAGTGACACTTGAGCTAATCCCGCGCTCGTGCTGTGACATACGATAAGTTAATGCTGTGCTGCAAAACGCAATCAGCACAAGGGCGTGACATTATGCCATCACACACACAAACACACACACACAGATTCACGATTCGTGGAGACACACAGATTCAACAGCGGTTGCCGCTGAGCAGGAACCGTCAGCTTGTCAGTTGGTGGCATCACAGGAAAAGCAGCTAGATTCGAGAACGACTTTGCCTGCCGTCAAGCAATTGAAATTGTCTTTTTGCTGGTTGTATCTCTGTCAGCCGTGTGGGTGTGTGTGTGCGAGTGGGTGTGAGTTTGTGTTTGGTATTTTGAAAAATCGTTGCATTGCACTTGGCTGAAGTGTAGCATATTTTTTGGATTTGACGCACCTGCTCGTCACCGGTGCCCTGTTACGTTTATTGCACTGAATGGGTCCGTGATTGATTGATTGATGGATTGATACATCGATGTCGCAATATTGCGGCTATAGACCAGGCCGAGATGGGGGCAAGCGCCCAGAAATACCGGACCAACTTTAAGCGACAAGAACATTTGCAATGGCAGCACCCACTTTCCGGCTACTCGAAAGTTTTTTTGAGGCTCAACTGAAAAAAGGGGAAACGCGTCGACGCCGAAACTCGACGCTAAAGTGTGTTTTATGTAGTTGCCGGCAGAGTTTTAGGCACCGGTGGGGCCACCGAGGCCAGTGAGGCAACCCGAACAACTCGAAACCATTAATCTTCATTTCCAGACTGGGGCCACAGCCGCAGGAGCAGTCACTGATGATGCCCCAGCGAAGCTGCCGGAGACTGCGGGGCTGCGTTGGAAAAATGGCGCTCGAGTCAAGTGGTAATTTTGGTTACTTTGTTTGGCTGCTTTTAGGGGGCGCAGTCGGAGACCACAACTGTTAAAATGCGGCCATGTTCAAGTTGCGGCAGACAAATGAGCAGACGACGCCGACGACGACGGGCATTGTCAAACTGAGCTGGAGAACTAACGAACTGCCCTCTGCCCTGTGCTCTACACTCTGACCTAGACCGACCCGACCCTTACCCTTACTCTTCGAACCGCACGTCAAGCATTAATTCATAATTATGTATGCCGACAGTGCTGGCAACAACTCTCGACCCTCGGACGTAGGGACGTCCAAAATGAAATATGCAGCTCAAAATGCGTTAAAGCTTTTGAGTAGCTCTGCTTTTAGCCCCAGCCGGAAGTTCACACAGTCACAGCGGAAGTTTGTAATTATCGCTCACAGATGCGTTAGGTCAAATGCTCGCTGAACCGAAACGAAACGAAACGAAACGACACGAACCGAACCGAACCGAACTGAACTTGGTCTGCATAGTTGGCCGCATATTTATGCAGTTATAAATCTAGCACTTATCCTTAAAAATCCTTGTCTATATCTGTACTGGGTACTTACATGGCGCCAACATAGAGCGCGTTGTTGCGCTCATCCATATAAAAGGTTTTGTAGTGCAGCGGGCCACAGCTGAAGTCCTTGACATGCTCTGCAAGAGTCCGAAAGAGATATGTGTGATATGAGTATATAATATATAATGCGCATACGCCTCGTGTTTCACTTATAATAAAATAAATGCAAAAGCCAACAAAAGCTCAGCATGTTTAAAGGTCACTGCTAGGGGTCGCGCTTGTCAGCCAGAATCTGGACCTGGACCTGGGACCCTCTGCAGATTTCAACTCCAGTTAATTAAAGTTTATGCATCTATCAATGAAACTGTCAGCAGCAGCGTGTGTCAGGCGTACAAAAAACTAATTAAACTATTATAATTTAGCTGAGAAAGTTAATTTATGGGGCGGCTGCAGGCGCAGTAGCGAGACAAAAGAAGTCGTCTATAAAACAAGAACAATACGCACACACACGCGCACACACATGCACAGCTGTTGTAAACAAACAGGCAAAGCATGTCCTTGCAGATTTGACAGCCACTGCGGCCCAAGTGTCACGTACTCAGAAATATCACGTGCGCCGCATCCTCGAAATATGTATGTAGGTAACACCACTGTCAATGCCATTAACGAAAGATTGAGGCATTTAGCTAAAAAATTTTACGACATTAAGTTGTCAACTAATTTGGCGCAATTAGTAGGCAACAGACAATGGTTGAGCGGGAGGAACGGGCGCCGCAAAGTAGGCAACTTTTTTTTTATTTCCGTTCTGTGCTCTGGCAAATCCTTTGATGGCAGCGCTAAGAGTCAATTTGTGTTTGCTTTTCCCCATTTCATGCTCTTTTTCGATGTCAACATACAAAATAAAACACCAACTAATGAGCAGCCCGACTGACAATGGGTCTTTTCTGGTCCAGATCCCTAAACTTGTGCCGCCATAAAAAGAAAACAAGCAACAGCAATAACAACAGCTACAGCAACAATAATGGCAAAACACGCTCATTAAAATGAGCAAAGCCTTAGACATTGACTTGCCACTGATTTGCATAATAATAGATACATAATGAATAATAAGTAAGTATCTATGTAAATAGTAATTTTCCAGTCTCCGCTGGCTTGCTGACAAGATGACCCTTATGCAAATTAGTCATTGTTGACCAGGCCAGAGCTTGAACTTTAAGAGCATTCTTTTAATGATTTCTAATTTGTTCTTTTTATATTTCATGTCCATTCCGTTCTGTCAGTTTACTGAATTAACTTTATTAACCATTTTGAAATGATTTTATTATTACTTATATTTGTTCCCTATTCAAATCAAAAATAAACAAATGAAGTAAGGATATCAGGAGAAAGAGATCTTAAATGAGAAAGATAGGGCCATAATAAGGCAGCTGGAGTAAGTGTTCAGGCCGCACCTTATCAAATGAACAAGATTGAAAAAAAAAATGAATTTAAAATTACAATTATTGCTCCTACAGCAATGACAGTTGTTGTTGCCTCTTCAGCCGGGTGCTGGGTCGAGCTACAGCGAGAGGTCCAGCCAGGCAATTATGAAAAATTTGTTTAATTTACACATTTTCTAGATCACAAAGTTCACATGGCTTTCCTTTATAATTTCAATATTTAACTACAGTTTTTTCTTATTTGGTTGAATGCATATATTTTCAGCGGTATTGACTTAACATTGGGCTAAATTAACGTACGCGATGGCTTATAGTCAACTGTTGGTTGGGATTAAACGTAATTTTGGGTAAGCCCTTAGCGCATCTCTCACATCTTATTTACAGCTCTCATCACAGAGTTTTATTGTGCGCCAAAGCGCAGAAGTGCAAAATAAATGAGTGCCCACGCCTGCCAAGGCGTTACAGGCATGCGAATGTCATAAAAGCAGAGTATCGCAAGGTCACAGATCCGCATTACAACAAGGTGAGCAACATGGGATTGTATATTGAGAAGTAGTTCTTAAAACGGGCTACCAATAACTAGGGCATGGGATATACGCATGATGAACGCCAAAAACTGAATGTAATTGGACTCTTTCCAAGCGCTTATCGCAGCGAAGCCGAGCAGATAAGCGCTGTTAATGCCAATTTTCATGCGCAGCAGTCGGATCTTGCCCGTTACCTTTATCTGAGAACGTTGCGTTCTCGCCAGGAGCGCCTTTATTATCGCTTTGTCATCGAGAAAATCGAGGAGGTAATGCCCATTATATACACGCCCACGGTAGGCGCGGTATGCCAGGCATTCAGCCTGATCTACCACAGTACCATGGGCCTGTATGTGAGCAAGTACGATAAGGGCTACATGACGGATGTGCTCAGTAACTGGCCGAACACGGATATACGTGCTGTGTGCGTTACAGATGGTGAGCGAATACTCGGTCTCGGTGATCTGGGCGCCGGTGGCATGGCCATATCTGTGGGCAAGCTGGATTTGTACACGGCGCTGGCAAAAGTACCACCCCAATACCTTATTCCAGTTGTCCTTGATGTTGGCACCAACAACCAGCAGCTGCTCTCCGATCCCCTGTATATTGGCGTGCGCGAAAAGCGTTGTAAAGGCAAGGAGTACGAAGATCTTGTGCAAGAATTCATGGATGCAGTTGTCAAGGTTTGGGGCTACCAGACGCTCATCCATTTCGAGGACTTCTCTACGCCGAATGCCTTTAAGTTTATCAATATGTACCAGGACAAATATTGTAATATCAATGATGATATACAGGGCACAGCGTCCTGCGGCCTGGCTGGCTTTCTTGCCGTCGAACACATCACAAAGAAACCACTAAAAGATCACACTGTCTTATTTGTGGGCGCTGGCAGCGCAGCGCTGGGCATTAGCAAGTTGCTGGTTAAGGAGTTGATCAGCCGGAAGTTAAGCGAAGAAGAAGCTGTCAAGAACATTTACATAACCGATGTAGAAGGTCTCATAACCAAAGATAGACAGAAATTTGATATACCAGATTTGAAGCTATTTGCCAAAGACAGGCCTCCCGTTAAGGATCTTGAGCAATTGGTTAAGGAAATTAAGCCGTCGATTTTATTAGGCGCCACAGGTCAGGGCGGCATCTTTACCGAAAACATACTGCGTATTATGGGAAGCGAGAACGAACATCCAGCTATTTTTGCTTGTTCGAATCCGACAAACAAAGCAGAATGCACCGCCGAGCAGGCATACAATTTTACAGAGGTAAACAGACACATACTACTACTCTAACAAATACTATATGTGTGCCATAACTACTTTTCACTTCAGGGTCGCGCATTGTTTGCCTCCGGCTCACCCTTTCCGCCGGTTGTTATCAATGGCAAACGGCTGATACCAACGCAGGCCAATAACGCGTTTGCCTTTCCTGGCATTGCCCTGGGTGTAATGTGTACCCATCCTCGTACAATATCGGATGACGTTTTTCTTGTAGCGGCCCACGAAATCGCCAAATACTGTAGGGAATTTTACCCAAACGACGCTGCGCTTTATCCACCCATTAAGGAAGCTGCAAATGTGGCCTTTAGCGTAGGCGTTGCTGTGGCAAAATTCTTGATAGACGAGCGTAAGGCAAATGTGTATCCGATACCTACGAATGTTTGTGAGTTTGTGCAGAGCTATCAGTACTACACGGAACGCCATGCAACTCTACCTTTGACCTGGGAGTACCCAAATATGTCTGCTCCCTTGCCTAAAGGCGACGATAAAGATTGCAAAAATTAAGTGGGAGAATATATGTTCACATTTACATTTATAAAATTGTAGTTCCATAGTTCAGACTTTCTGTTATTATTAAATTCAGAGTAGCAGGTCTAGGTGAATATTATGAATATCGTTAAGTATTTATTTAATATGGATCCCGGATAAGCTTGGACAACAATTGGACAAACAATTGGAGCAGCCCATTGATCACTTAGCGACAGACGTAGCCAATTAACTAGTCATACAAGCACCTGATTAACTATTTGATATGGTCATAGAAATTCTCCCTTGTAGAGCTCTCCAATGTGCATCCTTCGACCCAGTCATTGTTAAAATTTATTTTAACCCACTGAGGCTGTCCTCAACCTGAACGTTTGTCATGTTTAAGCAAGGTGTCTGTAATTAACCATCATGTGGTCACGGCCAAAGGCGAAAAATGGCCCAAGCCTTTGTTATAGCATAATATGTGTGCTGCTGTACTTTAAATAGTCGAACGCGTCAGAATGCGCCACATGGTGGCGACAACAATAGCAACAAACGCGACCCAAATAGCGTTGGGAAAATGCTGGGAATTTTAACGTCATTATTGTCTGTCAGTGCGACATTGACATATGTATGCACGCCCGTAACACAGATACACACCTACACAGAACCACATGCCCATATGCATGTGTGTGTTCGCTACTGCTTTGCATATAAAATAAGACGAAATGTGTGCTCACCAAAAATGTCAATCAATTTTTTTAAACGTCCTGCGTACATATATTTGTTTTGCAACCTCCTCTGGCATACCCTCTACCCACTCTGTTGCTCTCTCTGTCTCTCTGTCTCAGTCAGGACATGCATGCATTAAAAAGCAATTGGTGTTAAAGGAGCAGTCACGTTGTCTGCCTGTCTATCAGCCTGGCATGTGGTTGCAGCTCCCCTTGCCTGACTGCCAGCTCGGGAGACCCTACTCCAGCACCAACTGGTGTGAAAAGGACACACACACACACACACACACACACACACACAAACACATTCACATACAATACCCGTTAAAATATACAAAGAAGACGCCAGCTCGATATGGAGGAAAAAAAAAAGAAGGAAAATGTAAAATCATTTTCTTCAACTGACAGCTGTCAAAATATTTGCTCTCTGTCAACGTGCGCTGTTGTTGCTGGTGTTGTTGTTGTTCTTGTTGTTGGCCAAGCTGCGTCTTCGATTTTCCATTCAACTGTGTGAATGTGGGTGCGTGTGTGTTTATGTATTTGTGTGAAATGTCCCTGCAAATTTCATTTTAATATTCATTACTTCACACTATAATGCTGAAGGTTATCATTGACCGGACCCGGCTGCTCTGTTTCGGGTCTCCTTTTTTCGCCGCACTCATTTTCCATTTTCCATTTGACCTTTTTTCTTCCTTTAAAGTGTG